TTTAAAAACCTTCTCAAGAGTAGCTTTGAAGCATTTAACACAAATGATTGAAGACAAGATGAGTTATGGAATTATATCAGGGATAGAATTAATGAGGAAGCAAATACTCAATACAAAGATAGAGAAGAAAACACCAAAATGGATATCAAAAGAGACTCTGAAATTTGCAGTAGGATGTAAAGAAACCAAAACAAAGGGAAGAATTGTTGGAGGGAGCTGCTGAACAGATTTCAAAGAGGAGCTTAAAACTACTACAGACAAAGTATTATAACTAAATGTTCAAAGAGCTGGAGTTAGAAACCCAGAAAGTAACAACATGCTCAGCATTTCTCAAGCTAAAAGAACTGAAAAGCAAATTTAAATCTTGAGTTGCAATTCTAAAGGATGCTATGGGAAAATCTTGAACGATCCAGAAAATATCAAAAGAAGATGGAGGTAACATACAGAGTCACTGTACCAAAAAGAATTGGTTGACACAGAACCATTTCAGAATATGTGAATAAGAACAAATGGTAATGAAGGAAGAAATCTGAGATATACTGAAGGCAGTGGCAGAAAATAAGGTCCCAGGAATTGATGGAATACCGGTTAGGGGTTTCAATAAACTGATGCAGCCCTGATAATACTCCCCAGTCTGTGTCAAGAAATTTGGAAGACAGCTAGCTACTTCCCAGCTAGTTGGAAGAGATACATATATGCTCCCATTAAAAAAAAAAAGTGATCCAGTGGAGTGCAGAAATTATGGAACAATATCATTAATATCATATGCAAGTAAAATCTTGTTGAAAATTATTTTAAAAACAATTTGAATGATACATGGCCACAGAACTCCCAGAAATTCAAACTGAATTCAGAAGAAGCCTGGAATGTGGGTTACCATGGTTGATATTATATGGGTCTTGGCTGAAAGCAGAAAATATCAGAAAGATGTTTGCTTGTATTTTATTGGTTATGTAAATGCATTTGACTGTGTGGAGCATAACAAATGATAGACAACATTGAGAAGAATGGGAAACTTAAATGTGCTCATTTGAAAATTATACCTAGACCAAGAAGCAGTTGTCCAAACAGAACAAGGGAACACTGCATGGTTGAAAATCAGGAAAGGTGTGTGCCAGAGTTGTATCCTTTCTCTAGACCTATTCAGTCTGTATACTGAGCAAAACATTTGAGAACTGGACTACGTGAAGAAGTTATGCAGGATTGGATGAAGACTTATTAATAACCTGTATTATGCAGATGACACAACCACTTTTCACTTGTAGAAAGTGAAGCACTTTACTGAAGATCTTCAAAGACTACATCTTTCAATATGGATTATATCTCAAGATCAAGAACACAAAAATCCTCACCACTCAACTTATAGGCAATGTAATTATGTAATTATTTTTATATGCTATTGAATAGACTATATTCATAGTAATCCCATGAACAAAAAATCAGAGTCTTGCTTTATCCTGTGCCATCCTCACACCCCAACCATGGTGAAGCTCATTATGCATCAATACATCATTGTTTCAATCCATCAATCAATCATTCTATTTAATCTTTTGTCAAAGTTGTCAACTCATTTTTCCTGGATCCACAATCAACACTCATGGCATCAGCATATCTGTTCTTAAGGATTTCTCCAAAGTTCTAAAGAACAAAGATAGCCATTTGAAGATTAAGGTGAGTCTGATTCAAGCCACGTTACTGTTACTTTCAATTGTTTTGTCTATACCTCAGAAATGAACAATGAATGACAGAAGAGAATTAATACCTTTGAAATGTGTTGTTGGTGAAGAATATTGAATATTCCACAAACTGCCAAAAGAACAAAAAAAATCTTCTGAATGAAAGTGCAATGGAAGCACTCTTTAGAGGCAAGGATGGTTGCATTATAAAGAGCAATCAGCCCTTTGAACAGGAATCATGCTGGGAAAGCTAGAGAGTCAACAAAGGAGGTAACACAGTAACTGTTAACAGTCCACTAGAGCATGTTGGAAATCATGAGGATGGTACAGAAGAGGGTAAGGTTCCAATCTGTTAAAGGGTCACTATGAGCTATACTTGGCATGTTTCCCCTTTGTTTTGGCTTCACAACACTCTAGTGCAATCTTTAGAGTCTCTTCTGACATCCATTTCTTTCTCCTCTGTCTTTGTAATGATCTTTTGCTTTCTTCATGGATGATATCCTTGCTATCATCCACAGCTTCTCTGGTCTTTGATCATTTGTGTTCAATGCTTCAAACCTATTTTTAAGATGTTCTTGACAAAACAACTATGAGATGTCATCTCACTCCAGTAACAATAGCAAAATTCAACAGAGCAGCAAACAACAAATACTGGTGAGATTATGGAGAAACTGGAATCTTTATTCTCTATTGGAAGTGTAAAATGGAGCAACCACTCTGGAAGGCAATATGGTGCTTTCTCAAAAAGCTGGAAATAGAAATATCATTTGACCCAGCAATTCCACTGCTGGGAATATACTATAAAGAAATAACGGACACCCAAACAGATATTTGCACACCCATGTTTATTGCTATGTTGTTCACATTAGCAAAGAGATGGAAACAACCAAAGTGCCCATCAACACATAAATGGCTACAGAAGCTGTGGTATAGTCACACAATGGAATCCTATGCAGCACTGAAAAACAATGAACTCATGAAATGTTATACAAAATGGGTGACCCTGGAGGACAGTATGCTGGGTGAAATATCTCAGTCACAAAAGGACAAATACTGCATAATGCCACTGGACCAGCAGGCTGTTGTGCGAACAGAGCAAGGTAATACTAAATTGGCTTAAAATAAAGAAAGGAGTTCTTCAGGGTTGTATTCTCTCACCATACCTATCTAACACGTATGCTGAGCAAACTGAGAAGATGGACTCTGACGAAGAATGTGGCATCAGGATCAGAGTGAGACTGGTCAATAACTTGTGTTATCTAAATGATACAACCTTTCTTGCTGGAAGTGAGGACGACTTGAAGCACTTGTTGCAGAAACTCAAAGAATACAGCCTTTATTATGGATTGCATCTCATTGCCAAGCAAACAAAGATTCTTACCACTGGACTGATAGGCAATATCATGATGGACATTGTCAACATCTTCACCTTGGATCCACGATTAACACCCTTGGTACCAGCAGTCAGGAAATCAGGAGATGGACTGCACTGATCAAGTCTGTAGTTAGGGACCTCTCCAAATTATTGAGGAATTAGTTTGAAGACTAAGGTGCGTCTGACTCAGGCCACAGTCTTTCTGATCATTTGCTATGCATCTGAGAGTTAGTCAACGAATAAAGATGAGAGAAGAAGAATTGATGCCTTTGAGCTGTTGTGTTGGAGAAGAGCGCTGAATATCTCGTGCACTGCAGAAAGAACAAACATGTCATGCAGTGGGTGCAGCGCTCTTTAAAGGCAAGGATGACGAGGCTTTGCCTCACTTACTTCGGGCATGTTGCTAGGAGGGCCTATTTCTTCGAGAGGGACGCGATGCACAGAAAGGTGGAGGGTCAGCGAAGGAGAGGAATGCCCTCTACCAGGTGGATTGACATGGTGACTGGAGCCTGGGTGCTAACGTGTCAGGAAGCGTGAGGATGGCACAGGATACGGCAGGGTTCAGATCTGTTGTTCCTACGGTTGCAATGGGTAGTTCTCAACTCCAACAGTTCTTTAACAAGCCAGATAGTTTTTGGCGCGCAAGTAGAAAAAGAACTGTTGTTGTTGTTGTTATGTGCCGTCGAGTTGCCTGCGACTCATAGCGACCCTATGTACAACAGCCCTAAACTCCGCTCTGTCCTGTGCCAATCGCACCGTCTCTGACACTCCCATCCCAATTATCCCAGTCACTGAATCAATCCACCTCATAGAGGGCCTTCCTCTCCTGCGCCGTCCCTTCACCCTCCCAAGCATGATGTCCCTCTCTAAGGACCGGTCTCTCCTCACTACATGTCCAAAGTAAGTTAGACGGAGCCTCAGAATCCTTGCCTCCAAGGAGCCACCCGGTTTAACCCTTTCCAGGACAAATCTGTTTGTTTTCCTAGCAGTCCATGGTATTCTCAATACTCTTCTCCAGCACCACAGCTCAAAGGCATCAATTCTCCTTCTATCCTCCTTGGTCATTGTCCAACTCTCTGATGCATAACAAGTGATTGCGAAGACCATGGCCTGTATCAGACACACCTTAGTCTCCAGAGAGACACCACTGCTCTTCAGCACTTTGGAGAGGTCCCTAACAGCAGACTTTCCCATGGCAATGTGCCTTTTAATTTCCTGGCTGCTGGTGCCAAGACTGTTGACTACGGAGCCAAGCAAACTAAAGCTGTGTACAATCTCAATTTCTTCACCATCCATCCTGATGCTGCCAGTTGGTTCAGTGGTGAGAATCTTTGTCTTCTTGACATTGAGCCTCAATCCATATTGTAGGCTGCAGTCCTTGACACTCCGCAGCAGGCGCTTCAGGTCCTCCTCAGTTTCAGCAAGCAGGGTTGTGTCATCCGCATAACGCAGATTGTTGATAAATCGTCCACCAATCCTGACCCCACATTTCTCCTCATAGAGCCCAGCCTCCCGGATAATCTGTTCTGTATATAGGTTGAAAAGGTATGGCGATAGGATGCATCCCTGGCGTACGCCCTTCCCAATTTTGAACCATGCAGTGTTCCCTTGCTCTGTTCTGACGACTGCTTCCTGGTCCAAGTATAAGTTTCGCATTAGAACGATCAAGTGTTAGGTTCGTATAATTAACAATGAGAACAGATCTAGTTTTGAAAGAGATGCCGTCCTTCATTTAACAGAGAAGACTGTGGAGGATCCCAAAAGGAGTTAGCTGATGAGACTCAAACTGTGAGCCTTCCAGTCTTGAATACTTTGTCGCTTCATAGCGTCTTCCTAGAACAGGAATTCCACGCAGGCGCAACGACGGTTGCCATGGGGACAGCTCCTCCGGCGCAAGCGCAGACTCCCTCAAGATGGCGGCGACGGCGGCGGCGGCGGCGGCTGCACGAGTTGTTCCTGTGGTTTCAGGCCTCCGGGGCTTGCAACGGACATTGCCTCTTGTAGTGATTCTCGGGGCCACCGGCACTGGCAAGTCCACACTGGCGCTGCAGCTAGGCCAGCGGCTCGGAGGCGAGATCGTCAGCGCCGACTCCATGCAGGTACGGCAGCGCTGCTGGTCAGGGCCTACGAATCCTGGAGACCGCGTGGAGGCCTCTGTAGGGGCCAGTTCTCTACCGCGTGGTCGTGGTGAGCGAACCCCGAGCATTGTGTGGGCGGAGGGGACCCCATCATGACCGAATGCCTGCCATGGGCCTTATAAAGAGCTAGGCGTTTCACGTTCATTATCGCCTTTACTTCTTATGACATCACTTGACAGGCACTTAGATTCTCGCCGACGAGTTCTGGTAGCGCAGTTGTTAGACTCTTGACTGCTGCCTGGTGGGGAGCTCGAATCCCCGATCGGCCCGCGGCAGGAAGATGTGCGTCTGTAGAGAGGTGCTTGCTGTAAAGCAGGCGGTCTGTTTCTGTAAAGATGATGCTTTAGGGAGCCCAGGGGAGCAGTCACCTCTGACCCACAGGATCGATCACAGCTAAGCTCGACTGATGACAGTGGGTTTGGTTGGTTAGTTGTTATTATTATTATTATTATTATCATCATCATCTTCATTAAGATATAAGTGAATTGAAGGCCCGGGAATGTGAAATGATTTTGCTCGTGCCACATAGACAAAAAGTGGTAGGCGCTGTACATTAATCCACATTTACTTGAAATATAATAATACAAAACTGAGTGGCCTGTAGGCATACAAAACAAAGAAAATGAGTCTGGAATCTTTGCTATTTTATAGTGATCCTGCAAGACCATGATGAATTTGTTAGCATCTCTGAGTGGTGAGGGAACAGGGTAGTCGGCAAACTAAGGAGTCTAGTCACCAATTCTGCCACTGGTCCTGTGACCTCGAGTGGTAATTTTGTTTATTAGGATAATTTTTTTTATTTGTAAAGTAGAGAAAATGTCAACTTCTTTGTCTCTTTTACCAAGTACTACTGAGTTGTGTGTAATACATGAGTTGTGTAGGGAACTCTAGTGGCCTGGTGGTAAGAAGTTGCTTTGCAGTCTGCAAAGGCATGAGGTTCAAATCCACCATCTGCTCCGCGGAAGAAAGATGGGCAAATTCCTCCCTGACTCCTTCCGTGATTCCACTGGAGGGTCAGCTGTGAGTTGGATCTGACTGGACAGCCCAAAACAACAAAAACTGAGTTGTAATGCTTAAAAATTGAGATTGTGAGAGTTGGTGTGAAGATCAGAGTGATCTGGATTGAGGATGACAAGGTATTTGGTAAAGAAATGCTTACTGAAGCTCAGGGTTTTCACCCTTCCAGCTTGTCAGAGTTGAGGCCTTTGTCCTCTTTGAGCCAAAATAGATATCACCCTCATCACTCCTGCAGGCATTTGTGCTCCACTTGAGAGTTCTAAGTTTCTGGATAAATTTGGGATAGATCTCTGAAGGAAGATTACAATAAATATTTGTTGAAGAGAATTTATAGATGGGAATGTTCACAGAAAATTAAATGCTAGACATGAAATGCCTGGTACGGAGCCTAGCACATAATGGGTACCCAGCAAAGAATTCTTCACTCCACTCCCTAAGCCTTCTGGCATGATTTCTACTACCTGTAGATTACTTGGAGTGATAATACCATCAACTCGCATGAAAATTGAGATAATTTCAACAAATACTCAGAATTTGCTTTATAACAGCTTCAAACTCCAAAAAAACTCACTGCCATCAAATGAGAAGTGACTCACAGCTGAACCTCTGTAGGAATATAACTTGCTTGGGAGGAGATTGCTCATTTTTCTCCCATAGAGCCAGTGATGGGGTTGAACCAACAGACACAGCTTGTCACCAGCGCTTCCTTTACCAGCTGTAGAAGACAGATTTTGGCTTGAATTTCAGCAGTTCTTTTCCGAGATGTGTAACTTAAACCTAACTTTTGTGCCTTTATTTTTCCTTCTGTCAACTAGGAGGAATAACACCAGTGGCATAAGATTATAGTAATGATCTGATCAGGTAAAGTATGAATGCAGAACAAAAGTGGTTGCTGCTGGGTTGATTCCAGCTCATGTTGTTTACATACGCGTCCATAGGATTTTAAGGGCTGATTTTTTTTTTTGCAGGAAGATTGCCAGACCTTTCTTCCAGGGTTCCTCTGAATGGATACAATATCTTATGTGACAGTAACTGCTGAAATATCATAGCTGTTTTTGGGAGAGACAAAACCATAATCCCTATCACCAACTTTTAGCTCAACAGTGAAAGAAAACAGAGTAAATGAATATGTAAAGGAATATTAGTGATGTTTTGTAAGGTGGAGAGGTTGAGAAAGAGAGTACAAGTGCTAGAATTTATGACAAACTACTAAATACAGTACAAATTCTAGAAAGGATAAATCAGTGAAGGCTAGCAGAGACATGGAAAACTCACTGGAAAAAAATTTGAAAGGTAAGAAAAGTTTGGGATGATAAGAGAGAAGGCAAATCAAAAGAAAGAACAAGAATGAAGATTTCGAGCATGAAATGGGCTTAGTGTGTACATAGGGCAGTGACAAGAGGCTGTTCAGCAGAGAGATGTTGTAGGTATTGTGGAGTGGGAGGGGAGTAACCTAAGGCAGTGTGTAAGGAGCATTCATCTGTGCAGGATGGATTGGAGCAGTGGGAAGTGAAGACAGCCCAAGTATAGATCTTTGATTTGATACTTCAGAGACTTAAGTAAGATAGCCTCTGGTAACATGGAATTATACTGATGATCGCAGTGATCCAATCTTAATGTTTTGTAATGTCTGTAATTCTGGGCTGTGGTGTTGGTAGCAATGTAGGGAAGAGAAAGATGTTAACATTTTTAAGGTATTGTGTTACAGTATGCCTTGGTTACTGGAAAAATAAGAGAATAATGCACAGAAAATGATTCAAGCTTAGGTGTTTGGGAGAATATGCTGAACCTGAAGTCGGGCGATTCAGTTGTTGTAAATAAATGGTACTGTTTTCCTATGTACTCTTCAGAGTTCTCTTTGTTACCATAGAGGAACCAGACTGATTTTTGTATGCTAACCTTATACAGTGACAGAGTGCTGACTGAGGCACAGCCGGAGTGGGAATAGGACATCTTAAGGGAAGTCTAATGAGCTTACGGAGAACGCAGAAGCCAAAACCCCGTCTCAGGATTCTTGCCTTTGCTTCTCTGCTTGTTGGGACACAGTGCCCCTATATAAGCATGTTCCTTGTCTCAGTTCTTTACTCAGATATAACTTAATGAGGCCTTCTCTGACCATCCTGTTTATACATCATTGCCTTCCTCGATCTTCACCTTCTTTCTTGACACACATACTGGACATAGTCCCTATAAGGAAAATGTTGTCAATAAACTCACTTAATGTTCCATGTGAGGGTTGAGTATTGCTTTGTAATAGCTACTGCCCATTTCTCAGAAAAGTTTTTTTTTTTTACTTCTGGGCTCCTTGCTGTGGAGGTTGAGGTTGCCAGAGATCTTGCTGGCTGCAATGTCATTGGGATGATTGCGCTGGTATAAGGCTGATGTTCCTTCGTATTTGATGAATTATTTGTTGAACTGTCTTATTAAAATGGCACATCTCAATTGCTTTAGATTCTTCCTGTGGTTGTATGTAATTAAATATGAGAATTCTTTGATGCTAAGGTGCAGTGAAGATTAATTAATGCCTGAAGAACACTTTGAAGATTAATAAACTTTCTGAACTTGCTATCTCATTACTGTTGAGTTAGAAGCAACTCGTAGCTGACCCTTTGGGTTTCTGAGGCTGTGAACCTTGCAGGAGGTGACTGACTTATCTTTCCCCCCCTGAGCTGCTCCTGATAGATTTGAACCACCAGAGTGGCACGGCCTTTGTGTTAGCTGTGCAGCTCTACAGACTAGGCCACCAGAGCTCCCTGAAGCTTGTGTTTAATTTTCATTATTAGGTGCCTCCTGCCTTTCAAAAGTTTTCTTTATGCCATTTCTCTCTTACAAAAGATTTAGGTTAGTACTGTTCTCTCTATCAGAAAGAAGTTGAAAGAAGATTTTCACTTTTCATCTGAAAGGAAAAGGGAAATCAGCATTTATTTGTTGGTGGGGTAATATTAGAGGCTGAACACACCTGGAGCAGTGAAGATAACATCATCCACCTATTCTGGCACCCTTACTTAGCATCTCCGTGTCAAACCAGCATGGCCTGTACTGTGTCTGTGAATATTTCATGTTAGTATTATTTTTTTTTAAAGTGTGTTACTTGGAAGAATATTTTTTTGGATCTGAGAATGATGCCTTTATTTTCCATATAAATTAATGGTAATTGCTTTTTCACTTTATACTATTTCAGTTCACAGAGATTTTTTTAAAATGTTCTACTTTTGTATGGAAGAGGAAACCCGTGTTTTAGTAATTTACAACATTTTGTCATGGTCTCCATAGGAGAACTTTGACCTTTGATATTATGTTTCAACCCAAATACTGTAATAGAGCATCCTGCCCCATTTATGGTGTGTACTATGAGTACACACAAGTCTTCATTTCTGCCATTGCTCCCTGTCCTGCTCTTGCGTGGTGTTGTGTGGCTTGTTTTTTAACCATTGGGAGGCGAAATTGCTGAAAGTGGGACTCAGAAGCAATTTAGTTAGCAGGTCAACAAGTTACATTCTTAATGTTGGATAATCAGTTCCTTGAGAGATTATTTTGAATTTTTAACAAATCCACAAGTAGAACAAACCCAAACCAAATCCACTGCCATTGACTTGGTTCTGACTCATAGTGACCCTCTGTTGAGTTTCTGAGGTGGTAAATCTTTCTCCTGTGGAGTTGCTAGTAGATTCAGACCATGGACTTTTTGGTTAGTAGTTTGACACAAACCACTGCCACCAGACTCTACACCACCAGAGCCCCTTACAGGTAGGATAGGTAACTTAAATTTGTGTGGCACAGTTTATAAAATGCTTATTACATTGGCTCTTCTTCTTTTGTCATCACAGTAACATCATAAAGTTGGTATTATAATAATTTCAAAGATAAGGAAACTGAACTAAGATCTCATACTAAGTTGTGGTTGTTGTTAGGTGTCATCTAGTCAAATACAACTTGTAGTGACC